ATTTACAGACAGCTTCAACACAAAAGGAAGAAGATTTAAGAAAATATATGGTTCTTCTACAAAAATTACATTAGATATTGGTAAATCCATAGCAAAGCTGCTTTCCAGAATCCTGCATTGCTTCTCCATTTCTGACCAACACAAATATGAAACACTATTACCAAGAACATTCCATACAAATTTATTTGAAAACTGCACTTTTTCCTGATCTAGAAATTAAATATTGAGAGCTGAAACAGTAATGAAGCTTTTAGAAGATAGATGTCCTAAGGAAAAACAAATGGAACTGGTTGTAATTTTGTCCAAAGGAAAGACAGAATACATTTACAATATTTGGGTATGTTGATGAAATCTCTAGGGAAGAAATGTGACAATGATTGTTCTTTCTAGCCATGCAGGATTAGATAAGCGACAATGCTATCAAATACTGGAGAAATATTTGGGCTAAACATCATGAAAAACCTGGAACAGTACAGCAATGGAATAAGCTACCAAGAGAAGGTGCATGTTAAAGAAATGGTTTTGCTAACATCTGACTGAAGTGTAAAATATGCTATCTTATGGCGTAAGGATCATCAGATTAATTCATGCTATCTGTATAATTCTATGAACATTTGACTTATGAATCATACTCCCTCCTATCTAAAGCTGTACTTCATGTCTTAAAGACATACAAACCTTTTAGATTATTATCTCTCAAGATTTATAACACACCCAATTCCAGCTCTCTGGTTCAGGGGAATGCATAGTAATTTCACCTACACTTACAAGTTTTACAATTGTACCAAAGAACTTCTAGTCTAAGAAAGGAATTGAAGGGATAGACAATCTAAGGCTGCTTTTTAACTAGGTTTGATTCTGTGGTTTTAAATGTTTGACAATTTTATATTATGTGTCATCTTTCATACTTTTATGTTTTTTAAAAAAATCCTTGTGAACTATCCATAGAACTTTGGATTTGGTATAGTACAGACATGCAATCATAAATCAAATAAATAAATGAAGATGATGCATTCTATAATACAAATAGAGCTTTTCTGTGATTAAGATACCTTTCTACCCACTAACATATTCAATCCTTATTACTAGTGCCCCTAACTTACACTTCTGAACTTTCATAGAACACCTTTGACAGAGATAGCCTATGGAACCCACACAAATGTAAGTGCCCATATTATTCCTGTTTTCCCATATCATATAATCAGAAGGTTCACATCCATGAAGAAACTGAACCTGCATATACCTTGATACAGAAAGGCAGGATAAGTGTTTCAAAAATAGTTTCAGATGAGATGGAAATTGTGAAACATTATTTTCTATTTCAATAACACATATCAATAATATGCAGATTTATGACACATACAGTGGGAGAGAACTATGTATGCCAATTTGAGTTCCTTTCAAAAAGGCACTTAATTAATTTACAGGGACAGGATAGTATAACAAGATTCAATGTTATATGGTCTTCATGTTCTGTGAAAATGTTACAAAAATGAAGCAGCATTACATTATTGCCCCTTTTAAATAGAAATGTTTTTGTGGAGAGTTTTGGAATCCATCAAAAGCTTCTGTGGAACAAAATAATGAGAAGGAAATGCAATATTCCATATTCTCAGCTTAAAGCACACTCTTCTGGTTTCCTGAACACACCGAATTCATAAACAGTAATCTGGAACATTATAAAAGGTTCCCCTGTCTAGACAAAAACTTAAAGATACAATAAACTGTATTCATCTACTTTACTATTAGTCCTTCAAATCTTCCATTAATCCTACCCCTAAAAAGATTAAAATAAATTGAGAAACCAAGAACAATTTGTAATAATTACTGAATGCATTCAAAGAATTCCTCTCAGGCAATCCTGCTGAGATGTTGCTGCAGAAATGCTACACCCTTTATGGCAAAGGTATTATTTTTAAGGAAAAAAAACTTATGAGATAACAAAAAAAAAAAAATCTCAAGGTATATATATATTTATAATTTGGTT